CAGCAGCTTCTACTGAAGCCTTCCGAGTAAATCGCCAGAACGCCGACACCTCCTCATCTCCACCGCTCCCATGTTTTTTTTTGTGTTGCTTAAGTTATTCTCTCTCCGTTGGTGCGCGGGGGCTAATGCTAATGATGCTAATGCCAGCAAAATACAATGGCGGCTTCACAAAACTTTTCAGAGTTTTACGGGGCGTGGTTTGCAATTCGCCCAGCCAATAGAAATTGGTACTTTTTTCTCCCCGGGATAGTACCAGCTAGCAGGTGGTAAAAAAATTGGGGTAAAAGTTCCCGGTACTAAGTACTCTTTTTTTCCCGTTTTTGGTGTGAACGCAAAAGAACGTGCAAGACCCATTAGCCGCTTTCACACCAAGTACTTTGCCGTACTTAGTGCCCGGCACTTAACTTAAGTATGCACTTACAAGGAATGTATCCATAGATGGATATTTTCTTTAACTTGGCATTTCTTGTGAGTTTCGCATTCAGTGTCACTTTAAATTGTATTTGTCTCTGTGCGCGATTGAGAAAAAGGTCATGCGGCTTCACGCATAAATAAATAAATTTCATTGTTGATGGATTGACATCTGACACAGCTAATGGTGGTAGCTGTCTCTTATTTTCCTAACAGCTTTGGATTGATGTGCGACTGTCAATCTAATGCGGCATCGGATAAATGTTTGGGACAAATTATAAACATGCTGTGCAGTCCCGCCCTGACCCTTGGTCACCCTATCGATGGGTATAATGTGTTGGCCCCTCCTCCCTGGAGCTCCCCAGCCACCTCCAGATTTACGCTCATTTCTGAACTAGCTTTCTCCACTTGCCCTGCTTTATCTGCAGCTTTGGTAGCTTGCTATAGAGTCGTGCAGAATTGAGTCCTGAAACTCTTAAAGCCATCAACTTTTTGAAGGAATTTTTGATTAGGGGCCTGATGTAGTTATTTGATATGCTAACCTCCAGCTTGGCCTAGAAACGTACATCATCACTGCATCACTCTATTGGATGCATGCTTATGATCTGACACCTGGCCGCTCCTTTCTTATGCTCAGCAAATCAAAAAGAAGAGAGAATTCCATGCAGAGGTCAGGGTCTCAAAGCCACATGGGTTGATTGAAAATACTGTCTTAAACTAGATTTTTTATGTTTCAATGCTTGTGAAAATGGTCTTAATGTGCAGATGAGAATATCACTGGTGTATCTGAACTCTCCACAGGGAAGCCGATCATAGAGAACATTACAGACGCCATCTATGGCAGCAGGAAGACCATCTGTGTGATCACCAGGCGCTACCTGCAGAGCGAGTGGTGCTCCAGAGAGATCCAGATGGCCAGGTAATGGCACCTTTCATTATTCCTTCTTTCTTCAAAGAGGTCCACTAATAGAGCAACACAGATGTGTGCAGAGGATGGACACGCTGACACAAAGACTTCTCGCCATTATAAAAGAAAAATAAGTGGAAGACATTGTGACCACCAGACAACAACACAGAAGTGGGAGAAGGACAGACGAAGACGAACGACAGACAGAGATCGATGGGGGGGCTATGAGCGTACTGATGAAAAATAAATGGGTCTTGAGGCGGGACTGGAACAGGGTGAGGGACTCAGAGTCACGGAGGTCTTGGGGGAGGGAGTTCCAGAGCTTCGGGGCTGCCACAGAGAAGGCTCTGTTGGTGTGGGTGAGGAGTCTGGCGGCTGCGTTCTGAACACGCTGGAGTCTACTGAGGGAGGTGGAGCTGATGCCGTAGAGGAGTGAGTTGCAGTAGTCAAGGCGGAAGGAGAGGAAGGCGTGAATGAGTCGCTCAGCTGCAGGGCGGGTGAGAGAGGGACGGAGTTTAGCAATATTGCGGAGGTGGAAAAATAAGGTTTTAACTACTTGGCGGATGTGGGGCTCGAGGGAGAGGGTGGGGTCAAATATTACGCTGAAGTTGCGTGCCTGGGTGGAGGGGGAAACAGGGGTGTCATCGATGGTGAGTGTCAGGTTGGGGTTTTTGCTGAGGGTGGATTTGGAGCCGATTAGGAGGAGATTTGATTGCAGTCAGACAGGAGTCGATGTGGGTGAGGGGGGCGTTGTTGGGGGATTTGGTGCTGAGGTAAATCTGGGTGTCGTCGGCGTAATAGTGAAAGTCCAGGTTGTAGTGGCACCTTGGGTGACTGAGGCTGTGGCAGAGGAGTGGTTGTTGAGGGAGATGAAGTGGGATCTGTCGGAGAGGTAGGACTGGAGCCACCTGAGTGCAGTACCTTCGATACCGATGTCCTGGAGTCGGGTGAGCAAGATGTTGTGGCTCACGGTATCGAAGGCTGCACTCAGGTCGAGGAGGATGAGGATGTTGAGGGAACCGGTGTCAGCAGAGTTGAGGAGGTCATTGAGGACTTTGACGAGTCTCATGTGCTCATGTTCAGGCTCATATTCGTGTTTAGTGCCTGAGACATATTTACAGTGACTCAGAGAGAGAGCTTGCTTTAAAGACTTCCAGTAACCAGCTCTTCTCTCAACTAAGAAGAGACTCTATTCATGGACTGAAGCTCCAATGGGGATTGCGAACCCGGAAATGTTGAGTACCCCAAAGTTTTATGTTAGAAATGTAAAGTAGGGTCCCCAGCACATAGAAACTGTCGGATGCTAACCTGCATATGTTGGGCAATTTGGACAATTAGCATACATTGTGTTAATTAGCATGAATTTCCATTATAGCCATGTGGACAATCTTTAGAGAATAGAGAATAGAGGAGAGGGTGCTAGTAGAGCAGTCTGCGTGATCTGCCTGTAGGGAGGGACGGCCCTGACAAGATATAAAGCAAGGTATTATATTTACATGATAGATGGAATATATAAATGTAAAATGTACAGTGAAGAGAAAAGCATGTATAATAATAATAACCCCCCAAAACACTCCAAAATTGTCCAAATCAGCCAAGCCATTTTTTTTTATAATGTCCACGTAAGCTATAATTCCGTAAATGCTAATTAATTAAACTTTGCCCAACATATGCAAGTTAGCATGTGCTGGAGACCCCACTACACATTTCTAACACAAAACGTTGGGGTATTAAACTTTTCACTATGCTAACGACTGCAAAATAATCTAACTTGCTGCCCTCTCCCGTGGTTGAGCTTTTAGTCCGATGTTTTGTGTCCTGTTCAGCTTCCGTCTGTTGGACGAGCAGAAGGACGTGCTGATTCTAATTTTCCTTGAGGACATCCCGGCCCACCAGCTGTCTCCATACTACCGAATGAGAAAGCTGCTGAAGAAACGCAGCTACCTGAGCTGGCCGCAGGCCGGACAACACACCGGAGTCTTCTGGCAGAACGTGAGGAGAGCTCTGGAGGCGGGGAGCGCTGCCACTGAGACCACCCACCTGCTCACTGGACCAGCAGCACGCTGACCATCTGGACCCGGGAGGTCACTGACAGGTCACCCTAATATGCAACTTTAGCACACACTGCATCGCATCAACTTGTATCACAATGTCAGGTTGTTATTGTAGCTGTCACATGGCAGAGGATTTTATCTGGTTCATTAGCAGTGCATGGGTTTTTAGTGTGTTTTTATACTTTACCTTTTGGTTTGATTTTATGGCACGCTTTTATTTTAAAGTCTTCACATGTATTAACTTTTATGGCCTGCTTTTATTTTTGAAATATATAATGCTATGTGATTTTATTGTATTTACTTTAAGCCTTGTTGATCAGCTAAAAATGCCAATATTCAAGGACACCTGGGAGCCAAGATTAGCTAGCATTAGCATGGGAGGGAATGGCTGTTAAACAGAACACACGGCACCAGCCGACACAGGGAGGGAAAAGAAGAAGGACAAGGAGGAAGGAGGAGGATAAAGAGGAGGACAGGCGAACAAGGGCAGAGTCAGGAGAGGATGAAGGCAAAATAGACCCACACGTTGAACCAATATTAGCCAGATTACCGTATGTATATGTATACTGAATATAATAAAAGGTATGATTCCTCTTGATTACATTTAACCGTGTGCCTCTCACATGTTTCAATACATTCTGCTAACAGAGCTTTGAATTGAGGTGCGCATAACCTGTGTGTTTGAACAGATGTGTAGTGATTAGGTTCCATCATTAAGTATAAGACAAGGTAAGATAAAAATAATTATTTTGTGATGAGGTTGTTCCAGCAGCAGCACAACAGCAATATCGAGAATGTCAATAAATACATAAAATAAGTAGGCCTATGTAACATCTAGGAATAGGAATCAAAGTAGAAATATACACTATAAGAGCAAATGGTATAGCGAAATTGCATAGCATCTGAACCTCCATAAACCTATAAAGCACCTAAAATGTGTTCAACTGAAACCCTGTAACTGTTACCAGATTGCAGTGCCCCCCCCCCCCCCCATACATGTCTCATATGGCCACAGATGGGGCCACTGTGAACCTTTATGATATTAATCAAGGCTAAGACTATATTTTACGAATGTCAGGCTAATATCGATATGAGTTATGAATATGATAATTGAGTAAATGCATCACTGATATACTTTAGGTTCTTATTGTATGCTTAATGTTACGAATACTGTAATGTGATGTGCATATCATAAAACCTTTGCATATAACGTCCTGTATTAATATGTACTGTATTATATGTATAAACATGTGTAAGGCTGTTCGCTGTGCTTCAAAGGGAATCCTTATCTTTTAATAAAGCTTTCATTTGAAGAAGTAGCGAATCCCCACACCACTTCTTGGTTTAAAAAAAACACCAACAGGAAACCTTTCTGTTTATAAAGTGTGACTTCTGTACTTCCTGTTAACAGCTCTCACTGAGGGGCACAGTATAGCCCCTGGAGGCCATGAGGGGGGGAGGCATCAACCCTTACCGTGCACTCATTGAGGAGGCCAATGGTCTTGACATATTGATGTTCCTGCAGGGCCACGTTAAGCAGCAAATCTACCAGAAGGCCTCCGACCTGATGGAGCGCTGCTTCATCACCGAAGACGAGGACCCGTCTCTGCAGCAGCAGTTGCTAGCAGTGCGAGGTCCCCGTTGAAGGAGAGATTCAATCATTAGCATGATTATGACAAACAGTTTCGAAAGTTTGCAAGTGCTTTAGTTCTCTCACCAACGAGTAGTTAATAAGTTAGGGGGGTTAGTGAGTGTTCCAGTGAAGAAGGTTTTCTTCACTCATACAAAAAACAACATTTTCCCATTTCAGATGCCAGATCTATGATGTGGTGTTGAGGCATGCTCACCCAAATCACTAATGTTTCTCAGACATTTGATTAACAGCCAAGCAATATTTAAGTATACTGATGATGTAATATATAATAGGGGTGGGGGAAAAAATCGATTCATGTAAGAATCACGATTGTTATCTTGTACAATTCTGAATCGATTCATAACTTCTAAAAAATAATAATTTTGTTTTGTTGATTTTCCCACTTTTTTAATGTACATATATGAACAACTGTACAACATCTGTCTTGCATACTATATAATGTTCTATGTAATTGAAGTTACAGTACTTCAGGTCCACCACCGTGAGGTCAGTGGTGTTACCTTTAGATGGAGTCAGACCTGTGACAAAGTCCGGGGACATGCCCAGAATGAATGAATATATATTCACTTCTAAAAGGGGTATATGAATAATATTTTTTATCAAAGCAATGATACACCTGTGAGTTGGCTGTAGAAATTCAGATGGAACATTCTAATCTCAGCCTAAGAAAAACACATAACATTATTTATAGTGAAAACCACCCTTGAATGAAGGGACAGTAGCCCAAAACCTTTAGGGATCCAAACCACAATAAAAGTACCTGTGTCAAGATAGATGCTAATTTTGTGAAACTTGATTTTTTTTTGGAATATTTTAGCATAGGAAGGTCCAGGCGGACTCACCTTTGGGTACATTTGGTTACCATCAGTACCATTTGACCTTTCTCAGGTACCACACTGTAAAACTCATTTTATTTAATTGAAATATCACTATAGGTATTCATTCCATCCAAATACAACTGTTTTTGACCTTTATTGTCAGCCTGGCCACATGCCATGCGTAATGGTGCGCCAGCTGCCAGTCAGACCTACGCATTACGCATGCATTACGCAAGGCCGTATCTCTGGAACCCATTGGTCAAATTGGGTGATTGACACCTCTTTGTAAAAGTTAGAGCAGTGCTTCTCAAAGTGTGTTCCGTGGACAACTGGTGGTCCGTGAGCGCCCCCTAGTGGTCCGTGAGTATATTGGTAAAATGTCACATTTGAAATAAATAAATAAATGTAAATGTTCTGCACTCTCGCGGGAATATCTCCGCAATGGAGCGAGCTTAAGTTTCAGATTGCATGATATAGCCCAGCGCAACACCTTCATCACACATGTTGCCACTTGTTTGTACCATTTGCAGGCGATTTGTAATCTGCTCTAGAAAAACGATGTGTCTTTGGATATTTGTGGAGTTAGGTTGTCCGCGAGAGTTTTTATTGGTTAAGTGGTATTTGGTATGAAAAAGTTTGAGAAACACTGAGTTAGAGCCAATAGAATCAAGGGGCCGTTCATAAATCCATGTAAACATTACCATTGGTCAGTTAGAATGACGCACACACATGTATGCCCTAAAGCTGACGCCGGACTGCTAACCAGTCCCGTTTATTGCCATAAATCAATCAATCAATCAATGTTTATTTATATAGCCCAATATCACAAATGTTACATTTGTGTCAGTGGACTTCACAGTTTGTAATGTAAATGTAATGATGGATTATCAGTATTAATTTCAAAGTGACACAGAGACATTGGATTAACCTTCAGCAGCGTTTTTGTGCCCTTGAACACAACTTTTGATCACAAAACACCAAAGGTAAGACGTATTCATGTTATGGCTCTGAAACCGGAAGTTGTTTTTCTTGCACTTTCCTGGCTGCTAGTTCAGTGAGTTTTTGTCGTACAGTGATGAGACTTATACATATGCTTTCATATGATATTTTGTTGTGCAGAGATAGCATGAAGTAGAAAAGATCCCTTTTGCCAGTTATGTGCTAATGTAGCCATTAGCTCTTTTTCGGTTTAGACGATTTAGACGCTTGGTGTTGGACTTGTAAAAATTGTTAATATCATCTGTTAGCTAAGTTTCTTCCCGTTAAGTGGGTATGCAACATTAAGCTAATAGGGGCGTAAAGCCAGCCCACATTTTAGTAATGTCGTCATGACCGCAGCAAATCTTGAATAGCTCTGTTGTACCCCCGTTTTTAGAGATGTGGGTAAGGAGGAAAAGAGAGAGGGTTCTATTTTCCGACACTTTGTGAGTCTACTTACACACCGGGGACACGTATTTACGTATAATAAATCAAAAAGTGCATTTTGCCTAATAGGAGCCCTTTAAAACATGGAGACATGTCACATTAAAGGACAAAGCGATTCTATCTCATAAGTGTTTGTTTAGGTTCCTCTCCTTCTGTCCCTGTTACATCCTCTCTGCATTTAATACAAAAGGACCCTTACTGAATGAAGCTTTAAACCATATGAAAGACAAGAAACACCTATCATTAAAAGGATAAAGAATAAAACGGGTTACACACATAATATGTTAAGGATGTTTTTTTATTGAGAGCACAGCATACTAGTGAAAATATGCTCCACACAGAGATTTATGCATAGGACCCCGTAAGAGCTTTGACAAATTTCAATGGGACTTCATAATTGCTCACCAATTACTGCGTCTCATTTGATGCATTACATGTTGATGAGGGAAAACAAACAAGTCCTTTTATGGTTCACAATGGGAGGGAGTAAGAGGGCTTTAATATGGCAAATGGTTGTTTAATGTTCGCTATGAGCAAGTCTCTCTCAATTCCTGCCAGCATATGAAGGACCTTTGTTGCTATAGGGATGGTGTGTCCATGGCAACAATGTTAAACCAGGGGACATGTCGTTAAGCAAGCGATACATAAAGTTAATAAGGTCGGGGAAATAAAGGTGATAAACTATGATCAGGGACCAGATTTAATCAGAAACGGGGTCCATGAGGGAAACAATAAAAAATAAATAAAAATATTTCTGAAATAAATTTAATATCAGCAACTTGATGGATCCTTGAGAACCTTAAAGTACGGTTAGTTCAGTATTCGTTCCATAGCCACACTCGCAAAAACTACAAAATAAAAACAATATACAAATACTTTTATAAAAATAAATCCTTTTGTATGTTAGTATGGGATCCTCTATCCTACTACAACTATTCATAAACCCTCTTTAAGTCTCATTAGCTACATAAAAACACCAAAGCAAATGTTCACATTTCTATTAATTCAGAAAATTAATAAGAAAGTACTTTTGGGATGTTGTTACATTGGTATCCTACAAAACGTGCAAAGATTTGGTGCAAAATTAAAAAAAAAGGAGCCTGAGGTAACATTGGGACTTATGGCAAAGGATTAGGGCCACGTGTGTTTACCAAAAGTTTAAAAAAATGTAACTGAGATTCAAGAAGTCAGAACCTTGAGAAAAATGTCAGAAAAAATATTTGAAAATTCTGACTTTTAATCAGAATTCCGAAATTTCACAGAATTCTGAATTTTTTTTCTCTAAAATATAAGAAACTAAATTTACTCTTGGTCAGATCTAGAAAAAAGAATCACATGTGGCCATAATCCTATTCCGTAGGGACTAATGAGGATACGAAGCTGTTAGCTCTCAGTTTCACAGTTTTATACAAAACAAATTCTTTACGACACAACCTTTCAAATTAAATAGGTGACTTTTTTTTTTAAAGTACATCAGTGCTACAGGTAGCTTGTGTTGAAGTGAAAGCTAGCAAGAATCACTATTTGATCAAAGAGTCTCCTCTAACTTCACCATCCGTCACATTACCAAACTTTCTGTGAGCTCTTAGCAGCCTCAACAAGAATGACCTAAAAAAGGCAAACGCCCATTTCCAGAGATGGACAGTCTCCTCTAAGTAAAGTCCTTTTTATCTCTTAAACCACATACATCCACACACATCAAATCACATGCTCTAAAAACATGAACGAGAACTCATCCCTTTCTTCCAGTGACTGAGAAGCAGTAAGTAACACATACATCAAATATTAACCAGTTGGACAACAAGAAAAATAAAATCTATCAAAATGAATAATATTGCATTAGGAAACTGTGCTGAACCCACGTAATGCCGATAAGTTAGTGATATGTTCTGATAAATATTGAATACAAACTGCTGGCATTAAGTGAGTTTTCTTCTGTGTTGGAGTCATTGTAAGCGTTATCATTATTTCATAGGAAAAATAACTCTGTTAAGACTAACTGTGAAAATAAAACTACTCTCAAACCAAACAGTCTAAACGCAGGCAGCTTAAGATGTTTCCCGCACTAATCTCAGGACTGTGTTTTCAATTAGGAGGTGGCAGCGGGTGATTGAAAGTCCCCTTGGTGCTCAAGCTCTGTCTCGGTGATGAGATTACTGGCCATGGGAAAGAGCTGAAACACCAAGAACAAGTTAGTCACTTCTAAAGCTGCTGATCATAAAAGGCTCCAGGTGGAAACACACAAACGAGGAGCAGGTCGAGGCTGAAATCAGAACGTGAGTCCTTCAGGCTGTGAGGTCGTCCGATGAGGCAGCGAAGTCGGAGCTGCGCAGGGCGTTGGTCTGCGCTCGTCGGCGGGCCAGTCTGGAGTTGGAAGGAGGAGAAAGCCTCATGGAGCAAACGATGCCGCCGACGTCCTCCTGCTGCTCGTCGTGCTGCGACAGCTGCCGGTTGAAGGCGATGGCTTCGGCTGCGAACTGAGTCAGGTCTTTGGTGCTGCTGTTCCTGGAGGAAGAGAGAGGGGGGG